ACCCTGCTGACGGCGGCCTACTGACACGTCAACAGCCACATGTGTGTCCCCCTTTCATTCCAGGCCTGAGAAATGCCACCTAAAGAAATCATTCAAAATGCAAAACCAGCTCAATCACCATGCAGAATCAAGGAAGAAGCCACATGTCCAGTAATAGGAAAATGATTAAAAAATAACTCCACAAAATGTTGCAACAGTGGTAGTGAGTGCATGTTATGTCATATGTTACTCTATAAAACAATATAGAACTATTATTTCTTATCAAATACATACTTTATCACATAATTGTATTACTCAGCCATCAGAAATAAAAGTGCTTACAATAATACAGATAACTGTATAATTATATATACACTTTGGCTGCAAGATGGCTGAAAATAAAGGAATACGAAAATGGACTCTTAAACCCTAAAATACTGATAGTAATATGATTAGAAATACATATATAACTGAAAAGTTAAAAATAGGGGTCAAGAAAAATTTTTAACAGTTTAGCATTAAAAGAATAACAATGACTTCATTAACAATAAATATAGCCAGAGCCTGCAGGATCTTAAGAAAATTTATTTTACTGTGTTATTATGTAAAAATAATTACCTTTTATAGTTAGTCTTGATAGTAAAAGGTTACTATTTCTAGAAGTCAGATTAAATTTCAGTGACTCATGTTTCATTTCTGGTTTTATCAAGATAATATTTATGACAGCGAGATGCAGCACTAAGTCTGTAATTGGATGAGTTTCGGGGCCAGAGAATACCTTTTCCCCCTTCAGGTAACACGTACTTGGAATGGACAGCCTCAATTTTATTTCTTCACACAACAGATTCATTTTTCGTTTTAAAATTTCACATAAATGGAATCACACAATTTTTTTTTTCAAAAACTGACTTATTTGAAAGTCTTGAAAAAAATTTTAAAAATTCTTGATAGAGTCATGGGAAGATGTTACATAACAATAAAATGATCAACTGAGCAGAAAACCTAAAAGATTATACATTGTGTGATTCCATTTATGTGACAGAGTTACTGAAAGAGAAGGAGAAAGGGTGAGACAGACAGAGAAGGGTGGGAGGAGGGAGCTTCCAACTGCTGACTGCCTCCCCAGATGGCTGCAACAGCTAGGGCCAGCCCAGGCCCGGCGCTTCATTTGTCTCCCACAAGGCTGGCAGGGGCCCAAGCACTTGGGCCATCTTCTGCTTTTCCCAGGCCATGATCCAGGGGGCTGGATTTGAAGCAGAGCAGCAGGGCTCAAACCCACGCTCACATGGATGGGATGCCAGCATTATAGTCTGTGGTTTTACTGCCTACACCACAACGCCAGGCCCAGTCTACCAGACCTTACCGACTTATAATCAGTTTTGTCATTTATTTATATTAGCCACACAGATACTTCTGATCCATCTACTTCCAACCTATGTATGGTTTTATATTTAAGGTGTGTTTTTAAGACACTGTGATAATCCTTACCTTGTCATTGAGGTCTTAAGTCTGTTTATTTGTAATGTAATTTTTGGTAGATTTAGAGCTACCATTCTGCCACTTATTTTCTACTTCTTTCATAATTTCTACATTCCCCTATTTGTTCATTCCTGCCTTCTTTCTGGTAAGTAACTTTTACTTTAGCCCATTTTCAATATTCTCTTGGATTTTATCTTCAATTCATGATTCTAATTTACCATCTTATCACGTAACAGGTTCAATATTATCCTATTCATATACAACACAACAGTGCATCACCATCCCCCAAGGTTGTACTGTTAGAATCATGTGCTCTACAACTCTGTACACTACGGATTCCACCTTTCCACTTGACTTTTGTCTTAATTATATATTTTAAGGAATTAAAGGAACAGAATCATAGTTTTAGACTTTTTGGATGTGTAAGTTCATGTTTTTATACCAAATTTGAGAAAAGTTTAGCCAGTGTTTCTTCACTTCATTTGTCTGCCATATTTTCTTGATCTTTCGGGACTTTAGTTTGAGTGGTTTCACTACCCTGAAGGTCACTAAGGTACTATTTTTAAATCATTTTTTTTTTTTGTTTTAGAGATGGGATCATTTCTACTCAGTTTTCTTCAAATTTATGGATATTTTTCAGTCATCTGTACACTGCTGTTAAATCTACTCAGGAGTTTTCTCATTTTCAGATACTGTACTTTTAAGTAAATAAATTTTTCATTTAATTTTTCTAATCTCTGTTGAGATTTACTATCTGTTCATTCATTATGACTACCATTGTTTACATCTTTGAAATATGTATAACACATTCTTTCAGGACCTGAATCATCTTTGAATCATTTTCTATTCACTACTTTTTATCTTGACGGGGGTCTCATTTTCCTGTGTTCTTTCACATGTCTGTTAATTTTATGCTGTGCTGGTTATAATGAATGATATGTTGTAGAGACCCTTGAGTTGTCAATTACTGACCAGTCTCCTTGTACTTACGAGAGCCTGGCTTTGCACTTGTTAGGTGGTAGGTCTCTTCCACATTCACCTTTAGTTTTAGGGTAAATCTAATCTTAAAACTGTTTTATTCCTAATCGCAGCCTTTATGGGCCATTGGTAGGAATCCTTCCTGATTTGACAGGTCCTGGATCTTAAACGCTGTTCCCTGGAACTCAGCCCTTTCAACTTCCCAGCCAAGGCTCTCTGCTGGTCTCCTAAGAGTCTCCTCTGTATCTCCAGCACCAGTGAAGATCTCCATGCTGTCATGTGTCATTTTGGGCCTGTGAGATAGTGGCCTCCTGCTTCACTGGAGTTGTCTTAAGCTGACCAGATCAGAGAGTGCTTCAAGAGGGAATACACATTTGCCTCCCTTAGAATGATGAAATCCCTCCTCTGTCTATCTGCTTCTTCCTATTGCTTTTAATTGCTATGTTTATAATTTGCTCAGCATTTATAGTTATCTATAGGGGGAGCAGTCTGATATAACAAACTATGCCTGGAGCTGGCATTGTAGTGCAGTGGATCATCCCGCCACCTTTGACACTGGCATCCCATAACAGAGCACCAGTTTGAGTCCTGGCTGCTCCACTTCTGATACAGGTCCCTGCTAATGTGCCTGGGAAGGCAGTGGAAGATGGCCCATGTACTTGAGGCCCTGACTCGCATGATGGAGTTTTGGGCTCCTGACTTCAGCCTGGCATGAGCCATTTGGGGAGTGAAGCAGCAGCTAGGTCTGCCTTTAAAAGAAACAAATCAATCTCTTAAAAAAAAAAGTCATGCATTGCTGGCAGCAGTCCCTCCCTGGGACACACTCACAGGAGCTAGGACTCAGCTATGCCTCCACAGGATTCTAGTGCTCGTTCCACATAGTCCAGCTGGTGGCCCCGGAGACAGCCTCACCGTTTCTGTTCAGACAGTGCAGGGTGATTTCAGCACTGGCACTCTCAGGCTGTGGCTGTGGGTCCTGGTCAGAAGACAAGTCATGGGCACAGTGGCAGAGCTGCAGGCACCACCAGCGAAGGCCAGGTCTCTCCCACTGCCAGAGCAAGAACGCTGCCTAATAATGATTGAGAAAGATCAAACACAGGCTAAATCACAAATATTCTTCTTGGCCACAGACAAGCTTTTCCCCTCAGTTGATGTGCTTCCACGAAGGTTAGAGGATCTAAATCTTTTTATGGAAATAAAAACACCTGGAACTATACTGTATTAAGGTATAACACATTTTCAGTGTACTAAAGTCAGTTATGTAAGAGAAAATACAGAATAGGGTGTGAGTGTTAGGCGAACCCGAGTTTTTGTCCCAGTTCTACCAACCAATAACTGACTTTTGAAATGTTGCTTAAGCTTTTGGGTATTCACTTTTTGAGTCTAAAACATGTGACTGTTAGTAGAGATCCCTCTGGAAATGCTTCCAGGGATTGTAAATGTGATGTAAATTGTAATTATAATTGTAAATTGTGATGTAAATGCCCAGAAAAGTACCTGACACAGAGCACTCACTCTGAAAGGGGAAGGGTATTGTTATGATGACCGACACTGCTACCTGTCATTGTCATGAATCTGGCAGAGGAAAATAAGGTACGAATTTTTTCTTCTTTGAGGTATACTAGATCGTTTTCCTAACATAAGCAGTCAATGTTTCATGAAGCTCATGGTGCCACTTGATCTCTCTCTTGTCTCAGTCGGTCTTGGCTGTGATGACGCTAGACTGGGAGGCTTAAACTATAAAAACATCCCCTCTAGGGCCTGAATCATGGCATAGCAGGTAAAGCTGCCACCTATGAAGGCACCATGCCATATGGGCACTGATTCATTCAATTCCTGGCTGCTCCACTTCTGATCCAGCTCCCTGCTAATGGCCTGGGAAATGCAGCAGAAGATGGCCCAAGAGTTTTACCCCCTGCCACCCATGTGGGAGACTCGGATGAAGGTCCTGGCTTCCACCTGGCCCAGTCCTGGCTATGGGGGACATCTGGGAATGAACCAGCAGGTGGAAGAGCTGTGTCTCTCTTGCCCTCTCTCTAATTTTGACTTTCAAATAGAAAGAACTGGGAGATTAAGCAGATGGACAGAGGGAGGAAGAGAGGAAGGGAGGAAGCAGGCTTTCATGTCTCTTTGAAAGGGCCTCCTCACACCATCACACGGGATCAGGCTTCAGCACACTGTGAGGGCACACGGATGTTCAGTCCACAGCACATTTCTGACACTGCTCACCATGTTGGACTGTGTGATTGCTTAGTCCTCACTGGTTCACCACCCCACCCCTGATAAACTAATACCTGCTTTATGACAGAGCATGATATACTCAAAGTCAATCCTGGAAATAAATGAACAAATGAGAGAATAACTGTGATACACAGCGATGCTGTGAGGTCAGCGACCCACCACGAGTACCCGAGCACAGTCCCCGCTTCCGCAGCAGTCTCCGGACAGTGACCAGGTCACTCACTGACCTCTCAGCAGCTGAGTGAGCATGCATATTCAGCGGGTGTGAGTGTGTACTAATGGCTTAAATGTTCACACACCACTTTTTTCCCTTTTTCCTCTAGAACGGACACATCTGTTGCTCTGTGGATCCACAGTGCCTTCAGGAACTGTGAAGTCAAGCGTCTCAGAGGAGATTTCCTTTTACAGAATGTTCTTTCATTTAAAAGACCAAAAAACCGTTAAAACTTCAATTGGATGATTTGTGGGCAGTGACATGCAGCTTTGTTAACGACTAAGTGAACTTTCAATTATGAAATGTGTGGAGCTTGAGAAAATCACAAAAGCAAAGTTCTTAGGGCAACACTACATCACATTCTGTCTCCAGTGTACCTGGCGTCGCCATGCAGGATGGGTGTGGAGCGTGGCCGCAGTGCCGTGGTCCCTGGGCGGGAGCCTGAGCCCCGCCAGTCTGGTGCAGAAGACCTTTCTCTAGAGCAGAGTCCTCACGGCAGAGACAGAGGTGAGGCAGTGGACGGATGCTGCTTTCAGAAGCGAGACTAAGCAGCTGCAGCGTGTTATGTACAGTACACACTCTGAGAAGAAACCCGAAACGAGTTAGTCACAACGACAATGCACAGGCATGGTTACCTAACTTTTCTAACAGCAGAGTCATCCCTGTCGCCCTTGTTTGACTGCACTTAATATTCTTTGGTTGAATTTGTTCAGTATAAGCTCGTTCTTGTGCAAAATTAAATATTTCTCTTACCTTATAACGTGTGTATCTGAGTGTCTGGGTAGTGTCTTCCTGTGTCCTGAGAACGGCTCACAAGGCAGACTGCTCGCTAGTTCTGCAGGTGAGAAATGCCTCGTCACACAGGCTTTCACTGGACCACGTTCATGGGCTGTGTGCTCTTCCTCGCCAGGTCGCAGTCTCACCCCTGTCCTCCTCCAAAGCCTAGTCTTGGGTTCTCTTGTGCCCCACATTCCAGTTTGCATTCCATCACAGAACAGGCAGGCAGGCATGGGCTGCTGCCTGCTCTGTGGGCCCCTCCTGCCAGGTCACTCCCATGACTGTCACCTGCCTAGGGCCACATCTCCTGACAGGAACCTCCGTCTGCAGCTGCTGACCACCCGTTCTTGTCGCTTCTCACACAGGGCTCCCAAACAGCGCTGTTCTGTCCTTGGGAGGCTGGTCCTGTGCTCTTCATTGTCAGCGTCCTCTCTGCCAGTCACATCTCTATAAATGGTCCCTTTGTTCAACTAGGTAATTAGCATCTTGAGCATGCCATCTGCTCCCGCCAGGCCTCTGACAGATGCCATGTGGAGGGGCAACGCTGAGGGTAGCGAGTGTCTCTGGAACATCCATGTGTCCACATGGAAACCCTTCTCAAGGTGGGCGGGCTCAGGGTTGGCCCTGTGGCTATTTGGAAATGGGCCGATGTCCAGAAAGGGGACGAACCCGACCTTGTCTAACCCTCATGTTGCACGCAGTGTGGGAAGAAAGTACAAGTGGTGTCACGTTTCATTTGCAGAGGCATTTTTCTTCAAAGAATAGGCAGGGACAGGAGGTGACCACCCCCAGAGCCTGCTCCCTTTGCTGTGGAAACAGCCTCGCCGCACCAAGGTCACCACTGAGGCCACGGTGCTGCGGCATGGGAACCATCTGGCTAATTCGTGGATTTATCTTAAAGGATTTTTCCTGCAGCCTTTTGATATCTAAATTACAAGAGCTTAGGCTTATTCTGGAAGGAGTACATAGCTGGGATTTCCTTTCTAAGCTCTCTCTGACCTCTGTAGGTTCCTTAGTTTGTTGGGGGCAGGCTGACTCTTGATTTTCATGGGGAACTGAGTGACAGAAAACTCGTCACACTCAGGGAAAGGAGAAAGCCAGATTATGCTCTTCCAAGGGCCATTCAAGCAACAAATGTCTTCAGATTCCATTTCTTTTACTTCGAGGCTTATCCCGTAAATAGTGGATCCCGAGAGAATCACTGTTCCATCTGCAGACCCGGGTGAGCAGTGATCAGCTGTCTCCTAAGAGCTCTGATCCTTGAAACAGGGGTGGCCAGCACCTGGTTTTGCCCGCTGGTACGACTGGCAAAATGCCACGAATGAGCTATGCTGGCATTGAGGGAAAGCGAACACTGGGAAGAGGGGATTTAATTCAAGGGTGCACGCCCCATACAAGGGCAAGGCTTGCTGCAAATACTTCCCATGACGCTGCCTGTTATTTCTACTTGTTTGACTAGAAAATAGTACAAGAATATTTAAATGTGATTATTGGCCATAAGCTCTATCATAGGTTTCCCCTCTCAAAAGCCCACCATGTTGCTATTTCACTTCGCAACTGGAGCTGGCAGGAGTCGTGGTTGGTTCAGCTGCACCATGTGCTGGATTACGCGTGCTCCTCCCAGTGACCTGGTTACCTATGGCCTACGCTGAGCCCGCAGCAGCCCGCACTCTGGAGCACTGGGGAACACAGGTGACTCAGCTCGGGTTCCAGCTCCCACGCGGTGCTGCCGCCAGCTAGCGCTGCTCGGAAGGGCAGTGTGATGAGCACTTCAGCGGTCACGGTCCCATCTGGCCTGAGAGACTCGGGCTGACTCTCCCAGGCAGAGTGCTCCTGCAGTGGCAGTGAACAACCCGAGAGTGCACGCTGAGTTCCATAGCGGACGCCCTGCCCTGTAGAACACGCCACTCCCCGCGCTCCTGCAGAGGCCTTGCTCCTTGTGTTCCTACGGACCTTGCACTACTGAGGCACTGTTTCCCCTCACCCCACAGAGCGGCGGACAGAAAGGCAGGAGTACTTGGGAGGTGGTGGTCCAGGGTCTGCAGAGACCTACACTGCGGCAGAGCAGGGAATGGGGGCCCTGAGCTACACGTCCCTGTCTGTTCTGCTTGCTGGCAGGCTGGGATGATGCAGCCACACCTTCTGTCTCTGTTCTGGGATTCAATCACGTTTCACAGCAATGGTTTCTCTGACAGATTCAGAAAGTCTTCTTTACTGACTGACAGCTGGCACAATAAACCACCACCACCACCACCAAAATACTGTATTTACACCAGACTGTTCTACTTATTTCCAGTGTTGGGCACCATAAAAACACTCTGGAATTAGGAGTGTGGCTTAAGCCAAAGCAAAAATGACATTTGAGCAATTTTCTTTCTCTTTCAAAAAACACAGCCATAAATAGAGGAAAATATAATTTTCTTGGAAAAATAAAGAATCCAGGAATAAAGCTACTAAAATAAATGAATGGCCCTTTGAAGACAATCCGCACACACACTCAGTGTCTTAGCCACTCAGCACATCGCAGCACTGCTCTGGGCACCCTGTGAAGAGCCCGTGTCTGTGCTGGCCCCAGTGCCACAGTCATGGTGAGCACAGACGGACCATAAGCATCCCTCACTGCCACTGCACAAAGTGCACCTGCTAGTAACAAAGCAACAGGTGCCATGTCCGGGGTGATGGGGCTGTGATGGACAGGAAGTCCCCACCCAGGCATGTGCAGGACTGCCAGCACATGTGGGTCTGTCCAGCAGAGCGAGAAGGGTGCAGTCGGAGCCGTGGCTGGTGGACACTTCAGGTCCTCACAGGCCAAATGTAGGGTCCAGTTTTTATTCTTTTTGTCACAGGAGTCCTCAGAGGGTGTGGACAGCATCGTGCCATACTCTGACAGTGAAATGGACGTCACCAGGTCCCGTGTGGGAAATACAGGGGTTAAGGGCAGTGAGCCTGGGGTACACAGAGACCCCAGAACTGCCCACCTGGTGGCTGTAGTGTAGACAGAATGGTAACAGATCAAGGGCCTTTCACATGCAAGGACATCCAACTAAATGGAAGATGAACATCACAGTAGTTCGAATTAAAATAAATAAAACAGAAAACCGTATTTTAATAGTGGTTCTAAGCTATGAGAGAAAGCCAATGGTTGAGAGGGGACAGGAGAGACCTGTTCTACGGCTCACCAGGCCCGTCTGAAGCTGGCGGAACTGAGTCCCTGCAGCAGCAGGCAGCCGGTCAGGTGCTGCTGGAGGTGCCCGTGCTCACCTGGATGCTCCACGGTGAAGACGCCACAGCAAACCACACACATGCAGATGCGTCCTCGGCCACACAAACCAGCTCCGTGCACACAAACAAGCTGAATGCCAAAAGGAAAATAAATTTGTAAAAAAAATTAGGAAAGTTCCACTCGTTTCTGAATACTCTGAAATCGATCCAAAAAGCATGTATCATACATTCTCGTTAAATTCCACTCTATGGAACAGATGAAAAAACTGGCACACCCAACAACATTGTGTGTAATCACAAGCTGGGAACCACAACATAGGCATATTTCAAAAACTGAAAGGAATACGGGCGGAACACATCCGGCAGAAGACATACACAGGCATTTCACAAGAAAGGAACCCCTGAACAGACAGACACAGGAAATTTTCTTGGGCTCACCAGACAACTGGAGAGCGCAGATGAAAGCCCCAAGGGCAACACTGGAAAAATCAAACGACAAGATGTGGGAAGACACAACAGGAACTAGTACCTGCTGTGGTGGGTCTATGTTACCCTTACCTGCAAACCAGTTTTTCAACACCCAAGGCTGACGGTGTGCATTCCTCCTGGCCCAGAGGCACCCTACGTGTGTGAGACAGATCTGCACTGTCCAACACAGCAGCCACGCCATTAGTGGCTATTAAGTTTCAATTAAATTACAGTTCAGAGGCTGGGCTAAGCCTCCACCTGCAACACTGGCATCCCATATGGGCACTGATTCCTGTTCCAGCTGCTTCTCTTCAGATCCAGCTCTCTGCTGTGGCCTGGCAAAGCACTGGCCCAAGTCCTTGGGTCCCTGCACCCATATGGGAGACCTGGAAGAAGCTCCTGGCTCCTGGCTTCAGATTGCCTCAATCCGGCCATTTGGGGAGTGAACCAGCAGATGGAAGGCCTCTCTCTCTCTTTTTCCCTCTGTGTCTGTAATTCAGCCTCTCAAATAAATAAATGAAATCTTTTACAAATACTAAAACTCAGTCCTTCAGTGGCATGAACCACACTGCAGGGATTCAGCGCCACTCTGACCAGTGTTTGGTGGCTGCTGTGCGGGACGGCACAGTAAATATCTCTTTCATTGTAGAAAGCCCGATTAAATAGCAGTGATGTCGCAAACATTCATCTACATGTGTAAGAAGGCAAGAAGGCATTACTTACAGTCAAACACTGGAAACCACTCACACCATCAGTAGGGCTGATATAAACTAAAGCAATGTGTTTCTATTTGAAACACTATATAACATCTAGGATGGGTAAGAACTTAACAACATACCCAAGTCTTAGAAACAATTTTTTTTAAAAAAATTGCAGAATACACATGCATAATAAGGCATTTCTGTAAAATTTTTACATTTGAAAAACCTACGTATCATACCCACATCAGAGTACCTGGGGTCACCTCCTGGATCTGATTACTGCTCCAGCTTCTGAGACCCTGGGAGGCAGCAGGTGACGGCTCAAGAACCTGGGTCCCGACTCCCGGGTGGGAAATCTTGACTGAGTCCTGGGACCTTGACTTTGGTCTGGCCTGGCCCTGGGACTTGAGGAGTGAACCAGCACATGGTGCTCTCTCTGCCCTTTAAATAAATAATAAATTTTACTGCATGGAAATGATAAACATGAAATTAACAGAGTGTTATCTCTGAGAGGTCAAAGAGGGGTATCAAGTTCACAGAATACATACATAACTGGCTCACATCTTCATATTATTCTGTGCATGCCAAATACTTGAAAATAATGCTCTGACCATCAGGGAAATGAATTTACAAATAGATGAAATGTGCTGGCCGGCGCCGCGGCTCACTAGGCTAATCCTCCGCCTTGCGGCGCCGGCACACCGGGTTCTAGTCCCGGTCAGGGCACTGGATTCTGTCCCGGTTGCCCCTCTTCCAGGCCAGCTCTCTGCTGTGGCCAGGGAGTGCAGTGGAGGATGGCCCAAGTCCTTGGGCCCTGCACCCCATGGGAGACCAGGAGAAGCACCTGGCTCCTGCCTTCAGATCAGCGCGGTGCGCTGGCCGCAGCGCGCTGGCCGCGGCGGCCATTGGAGGGTGAACCAACGGCAAAAGAAGACCTTTCTCTCTGTCTCTCTCTCACTGTCCACTCTGCCTGTCAAAAAAAAAAAAAAAAAAGAAATGTGCTGATACATACATATTTGTATTCTGTAAATATATATGCAATATAATATCTAAGTTTAGTCTAAGTATCTGTTATTTATATTCCTCAAACCAAGTTAGAGTTTTTACATGCATGCATGAGTGCGAAGATTTAGCAAAGCTTTGAAAAGTATACATGTAATGCCTAAAAGCTATTTGTAATGATTTATTTGAAAACATACAAAATGGCGACCACACCCCCTTCGCCAATTTTCATTTGTTTGTTGTTGGCTCATTCATTTGCCTCTACACTTGACACTGTCACGATCATGATATGCATCAGTTTCATTTCTACCTCTGATAACACGCCACTGAACACTCTCATTACAACAAAATTATTGCATGTCCATAAATTTTAATGACTGATAACTGTTTAACTGATTTGTTTGGAAATAGTTTATTTCCTTCTAACTTTTCTACTGTTATGCATGCTGCTGTGATTCATATTGTATAAATTATTTCTTTCAACATGTTATCAACAGGTTTAATGAACAAGTTATAAACATTCTAGGTGATGTGAATTAGCTTGTGTTATTCCTCTTCCAAAGGTTACACCAACATACAGTGCCACCAGCAATATGGAATTATTTTTAAAGTAACTATCACCAATCTTATGAATTTAAAATACTTTAGTCTTGTTCCTTCTTTTACAGGTATGAAATGGTACATCTGTATCTTAATTTGGATTTTCTGTCAGTAATCGTGAGGTTAAGCACTCCCAGTTGTTTATTCAATCATGTGTGAATTTTCCATTTACAAACACTGACATCTGCTTATGTCTTGTGATCACACACCTATTATTCTTTGATGTTATTTTAAGTCAGAATCAGTTATTACTATGTAATTGTTACAAACTCTTTGGCCGGTGCCATGGCTGACTAGGCTAATCCTCCGCCTGTGGCGCCGGCACTCCAGGTTTAGTCCTGGTTGCCCCTCTTCCAGGCCAGCTCTCTGCTGTGGCCCGGGAGTGCAGTGGAGGATGGCCCAAGTGCTTGGGCACTGCACCCCATGGGAGACCAGGAGGCGGCACCTGGCTCCTGGCTTCAGATCAGCGCAGCGCACCAGTGATGGCGGCCATTTGTGGAGTGAACCAACGGAAGGAAGACCTTTCTCTCTGTCTCTCTCTGTCTAACTCTGCCTGTCAAAAAAAAAAAATCTTTTGCATGAGTTTGCTAATGTTTATTACTTTACATTTTCATTTTATTATAATTTTAATATGTACCACTGATAATATCTTAAATTTCTTAAAAATTTAGATTCCTCTCTCTTCAAATAGCTACTTCTACACATTGCAGATATGAGAAACACCACCTCCAGGAACCACCCGTTTCATTTTGGAATCTGCTACTTGAGTTCTTCTGAACATTACACTGAAATCTGTCTTCCTTCTATTTCGACTTGGCTTGTGTAATGTTGTCCTAGTGCTGCTCACTGGGCCATACGAACAAGTCCGGTGCGGATGTCTTCCCAGAATCCTCTCCTTCCAGCACGGTATGCCTCCAGTTCTTCCACTCTGTCCTCCACGCGGTCCTCAGCTGGTCTCTCGAGGATTTCTCAGGTGCTCGAATGCCTGTGGTCATGTCATCCTAGAACCAACACTCTTCCGAGGAGGAGTCTTTCTGCTGATGTCACACTTGCTGTAGAACCTGAGACTATAAATTGAGATTCCTTCCCTGGACATCTCCATCTCTTAAAAAGGAAAAATGTTTTTTTCCCCAGCTCACCAAGTGATCTCTTCTGATGTATCTGAAATTCATAAAAACTGTAAAATGCTAAATAAGAGAGCATTTATATTCAAATTATATTCTCCCAAGTGTTTTTATGAAATCCTCTTTCTACGAGCAGATCCAATGCTGTGTGAAATCACATTTTGTGTGGTGGTATATTAGTATTCCATAAATAATCCAGTAGCGTGTACTTCTATTTTAAATTGAATTTTTCTAGTAATTTGGATTTCTCATCTATAGTAAATACATTTCTCATGCAGGTCTTTGTACGTCATTTCATCATCCCTGGAAGATATTCCAAAGGAAGATGACTATGCCTTGCTATGAATCAACACACTGATTTTATTTTAGTCATTTCAATCATTGTAACTGCAGAGCCAAGCCAAGAGAAGCAGAATTGGATCGGGGTGGTTGCATTCTCACTCTACAGGGAGGAAAAACTAGAAAAATACTTCTCCAAGTGATGCTCAACAATAAAGGCAGAATTAGTGTACTGACAGCTGAGCTATGTTTTCTGAATGTGAGGGAGTTTTTTTTTGAAATATTTTATTCATTTATTTGAGAGGCAGTTACAGACAGAAGGAGAGACCGAAAGAAAGGTCTTCTATCCGTCAGTTCACTCCCAAATGGCCACAACAGCCAAAGCTGGGCCAATCTGAAGCCAGGAGACAAGCTTCCTCTAGGTCTCCCACATGGGTGCAGAGGCCCAAGGACTTGGGCCATCTTCTACTGCTTTCCCAGGCCATAGCAGAGAGCCGGATCAGAAATGGAGCGCTGGGACTTGAACTGGTGCCTGTATGGGATGCCAGTTCATCACTCATGAGAGTGATCCCTTCTCTGCAGATCCTTTTTAAAAAAGATTTATTTATTTATTTGAAAGGCAGAGTTGCAGAGAGGTAGAGGCAGAGATAGGGAGGTCTTCCATCCACTGGTTCACTCCCCCAAATGGCTGCAACAGTTGGAGCTTCACCCATCTGAAGCCAGGAGCCAGGAGCTTCTTCTGGGTCTTCTGTGTGGGTGCAGGGGCCCAAGGACTTGGACCATCTTTTACTACTTTCCCAGGCAATAGGAGAGAGCTGTATTGGAAGAGGAGCAGCCGGGACTTGAACTGGTGCCTAAATGGGATGCTGGCACCATAGGCAGAGGCTTAGCCCACTAGCCACAGCACCAGCCCCAGTGTGAGTTTTTATCATTCTGCATGTGAGTGTGTTAACCATTTGAACCATTGAGAGCTTGGTTTTCTGTGTTTTTCCTAACTGCTGAGGTCTCTCGACTTTGACTTTGTTTTGTTGACGTGCTGCATGATGCAATTCTAACTGCTGTGTCTTACAATCCTGCTGCATCCTCTTCCACGCCATTGCTTGGAGGGGAACTGCACAGGCAGCTCTGCCTCTAGCTTACCTAAAACTCTGTGGTCACAGCTTGTTGTGAGGCAGGGACCCAGAAGGGAGCAACAGAGGCCCCACAAGTCTCTCTGTGGTGCTGCACCTGGACCTCAGACTTGGGACGAAGAAGCAGCTGTAGCTCACACGGGAAACGTGACTGAAGTGGGTTTGAGGCCAAAGCCCCAGCTCAGAGCCGAGGCTGCTGCACAGACTGCTGTGCTCCAGCTGTGTGGCTCCTCACTGCCGTGCTGACACAGCCCACATGCGGGAAGTTCCAGGGCCCAGGGCTGTGCTCCAGTAACACCTGGTCTATACAAGCAGGGCCCAGGCTATCACCCTCCACTCTCAGCTACAGATAACCGGGGACCTGCAAACGCGAGCAACGTGTATAGCCTACGGGCCTTCGGGAACAACCTTAGGTTTCCATTTCTTACAGGCAGACATGGAGGAAATCCAGGATTGAGATTCTGAACGTGTTCTAGGGAATCCAATGTGAAGGGAACATGTTTCAGAACCTTGCGTCCACACCCAGCCATGCAGCAGACTACCATACCTCCTGCCTCCCTCTTCTCTTCTACCTCACACTCTTCACACTCTGCCTGTTCACCCGACCTGAACCAACCGAAGCTGACATCCACGATGACAGAAGGATCTGCACCTCTGCATTTTTGCACTGACCTTCAAGTATCTTTCTGCTGCTGGCTCCAATCTGATTCTCGGGCCCTACCAAGCCTTAGGGACACAGCCAGCCACATCCACGTGCAGGAGTACATGGCAGGCCTTTCAAAAGGTCATGGAAAATGTGTCTTATGCCAGGACCAGGCATGGCTTTCAAAATATTTTTGCACAAAGAGCAACTTATCTTTTAACTAATTTTCCATGAACTCACTGATTAAAAGTACCCTCCTCCTCTACCCAACCCATGAGCTGGGTAGAGTTACCACTTTGAAACCAAGCATGGTAGACTTGTGTATCTTCTCTGGGAGCCTTAGTAAGTTCAACTATAAAACAGAGGTAACAGGGTGGGCATTTGTCCCAGTGGTTAACACACCTGCAATCACTATCAGAATACCTGGGTTTGAGAACACACTCAGCTCCTGACTCAGCCTCCTGCTAATGAAGACCCTGGGGGTGGGGGATGATAATTCAGGTAACTGGATTCCTGCCACCTACGTGGGAAACCTGGACTGAGTTATCACTCCCACCTCCCAACAGCCCAGCCCAGCCCAACCATTGTAGGCATTCGGACAGTGAACCATTGGGTCAGAGTGCTCTCTCTATATAGCCACACAAGTACTTAGCACAGTGCTTACATAAAGTACGTATTTTAAAAAGTCATCTTTTTGTATTAATACTTACGATCCTCAGGTGCCCAAGATCTTGGCTGATGAAGAACCTCTCTTTACATTCCCTTCCAAAGCCCACTCACAACAGACTGAAAACCCCATGTTTGCTACCAATTATTTCCTTTCCAAGAGATGGTCATTTATTCAGGACCCCAGAACAAGATTCATTCTTTCCCCTAATTGCAAATACAAATCACTCATTCGACATTTCTCCTACTGAGCCCCTTGTGTGCGTCCTTATTCAAACACACAGCTCTCAGCCAGAGGCAGCCACACAATCCAACTCACTGGGGACCTGGAATTTCCAGTCTTGTCCCTGCTCCTCTGGATCATCTGTAGTCAACAGAGCTGTCTCAGGACGGCATTTTGGCAAAGACCCTGCAAAGAAACACAAGATGTCAGCTAAGAAAGTTTGGGAAAGATTACAAAGCAACCTGATCTCTTTTCTAACCACCAAACTACAACAGAGAAATGGATTTCGAAATTGCCTAAGAATTTCTGGCCATTTGAAGCAAGTGAACAAGCTATGTCTATACTTCTATCAATAGACGTCTTATAAATAATCTTTCTATACAACAATGTAAAAATCATTATATTTATCTATTGGTCTATCTACCTAGAGAAACAAGCAGATATCATATAACGGATAAAAGAAGATGTTGCCTACCTAGGACCATCCTAACCACCAGCCACTGCAATGGCCCATGTCTATCCAGCTGAGTCCATATTGGATCCTAAGCCTTTTCCTGCACTCAAGGAAAAACAGAGTTACAGAAAAACTTGTTTTAAATCTGAGTTATCACAGAAAGCTAAATCATTTCGGTTTTTGGAAGAATATCAAAAAGCTACTCATGCACAATGCCAGTAAATATTTTGAAAGTTGTTAAAATAGTGTTAGATGTTAATTCATGTTCCTCCTATGTCACTTTCTAACTTACTCTTAGAAAGCCTCATTTTCTAAAAAGTGGGTATATGGGAGCTGGCACTATGGTGCAGGTTAAGTTGCCACTTGCGATATGGATTGAATTATGCATTGCAATGCCACTTGACAGACATCCCATATCTGACTGCTGGCTTGAATACCGGCTGCTTTGCTGCCAATCCAGCTTCCTACTAGTGCACCTAGGAAGGCAGTGGATCACGGCCCAAATGCCTGGACCCCTGCCACCCACGTGAGACCCAGATGGAACTCCTGGCTCCTGGCTTCAGCCTGGCCCAGCCCTGGCTGTTGCAGCCATTTGGGGAGTGAACCAGCAGATGAAAGATCTCTGTCTGTCCCTCTCTCTCTAATGCTTTGCCATTCAAATAGATATATCTTTTTAAAAATGGCTATATATCCTAATGATAGTTATCTTCTTATTAACATCTGACATATAAAGATGCTAATAACAAATTCTTTTGCTGATTTGATTATATTTTGTTTAGACTGAGACTGGCAGCTTTAACTGGGACATTGAATACCCCCCTCAATTTATTTATTTGAGAAGTAGAGTTACTGACAGGGAGAGACAGAGGGAGGTCTTCCATCCACTGGTTCATTCCCCAAATGGCCACAATGGCTGCAGCTGGACTGATCTGAAGCCAGGAGCTTCTTTCAAATCTTCCATGTGGATGCACTGCTCTCCCAGGCCATAAGCAGAGAGCTGCATGGGAAGAGGAACAGCCAGGACACAACTGGGTACCAGAGCTGCAGGCAGAGGTTCAGTCTACTACACCACGATGCCAGGCCCCCAAACCCCCCAAATTAATCACAGAACAGAATATGCAGCAAAGGCTGATATAAATAATTTTCTAAGCTCCAAGGTAAAACAAGAGACAGAAAAACTTTTCCTAAGCTTTTACGAAATTACACAAGGGTGATGATGAATGAAGGAGAGTGACAGCTTGCGTTGTTAGAGGAGCAGCCCTCCCCACGCCCTGGTCCTCTCATGTACTGTGTCACAGCACCTTCCAGGGAGGCATCACATCCACCTGGTACCTTCCCCGCCATCCTCTGCATCTTACAGATGAAGCCAAAATGCCTGCTTGCCGAAGGGGATTTCCTGATCAACCCGAACCAAAGGTGAACCCCAGACAGTAAGATGTGGACTGTGCTCATCACACTCTGAGGCCCTAGACAGGAAGTTGACTTTGGA